GGTCAGACAACAACCACTGATTTACCCAGCTCCATTATGACCAGCTCAGGCATTCTGTCAGACAAATTATCAATTCTAAACTGTTTTAATGAACACTTTATATCCTCTGGCTCCCTGTTCGAATCTACGCATCCTGAAATGTTATCTGCTGACCAAACTGATGAAAATCCACCCCCAACTCCGCATGTGCTAGACAAACAGGTCACAAACCGCTTTGACTTTGTATCAATATCTCCCAGTGAGGTTCTAAATGCGCTAAAAACTCTTGACACACGCAAAGCAGTAGGACCTGACAACATAGAACCACTTTTCCTAAAACTAGCTGCAGATTTCATTGCTGAACCACTTTCATGTATTTTCAATCTCAATCTAAATACAAATACAATACCCAAAATCTGGAAATCGGCTTATGTTCTCCCTCTGCTAAAAGGGGGTGAACCAACTAATGTCAACAACTACAGACCGATTTCTAAATTATGTATTCTTGCTAAACTGTTCGAAAGACTTGTCTGTGATCAGCTAACTGTTTTTCTACAATCAAATAATATTTTATCACAATTCCAGTCAGGATTCAGAAAACAGCACAGTACTGTCACTACAGTTCTCAAAGTATTAAATGATATCATACATGCCCTGGACTGCAAACAATACTGTGTTGCCCTATTTATAGACCTATCCAAGGCATTTGATACAGTTGATCACAGACTATTGACTAACATCCTGAAACACTCTGGTCTATCAAAACTAGCAGTCTCCTGGTTCACCAACTATCTAACTGACAGAACACAGTCTGTCCATGTAGCCGGATCCTCCTCTACGTTCCTAGATGTTGTGAAAGGGGTGCCACAGGGTTCTGTCTTGGGTCCCATTCTTTTCTCCTTATATATCAACGATCTATGCAGTGATCTGTCAAACGCCTCCCACCATTATTATGCAGATGACACTATCATTTATTGCTGTTCATCCTCCCTCAGCCAAGCCTTCACCTCTCTTCAAGACGCTTTTAATATTATCCAGTCACGTCTGCAAAAACTTAGACTGGTCCTAAATGCTGACAAAAGCAAGATCATGGTTTTATCCAACAGAAAGCAGCAACCAGAGAACCCACCTCAAATTGAAACCCAAGAGGGAAAACAAATGGAAATGGTCTCCACCTACAAATATCTAGGTTTCAACATTGACAATAAACTGTCATTTAAAATCCACATCTCCAAAATGGTCACTAAACTCAAATTGAAGCTAGGCTTCTACTTCAGAAATAAATCCTGCTTCTCATGTAAAGCCAGGAGAACATTAGTAGCTGCAACTTTCATGCCGATATTAGATTATGGTGACGTGCTGTACATGAGTGCTGCATCAAAATACCTACAGTCCTTAGACTCAGTTTATCATGGTGCCCTTCGATTCATTACTGATTCCAGTTATCGCACTCATCACTGTGAACTTTACGTCAAGTCTAGCTGGTCTTCTCTCAGCGCTCGCAGATACACTCACTGGATATCCTTCATCTATAAGACCCTTCTAAACCTAGTCCCGTCATACCTTACCTCCCTAATACAAACATCACACAATCATTACTCCCTGCGCTCTAATGACTTAATCCTCCTGTCAGTTCCTCTGGTCAGAACTGAACTAGGAAAAAGAGCATTCAGCTTCGCCGTCCCCTCAGAACTGGAACAACTTACAGACAGATTTGAAACTATCAACACTCATCTCGCCTAGATCCTTCATGTCAACCGTATCAGATAATGTTATCAAAAATCTGGACCATTGCAGATGTTTCTAAAACACTACTTATCAAATATACATGTCTTTGTTGACTTTTAACTCTATCTACTTCAACTGATGTCTGTTCTACATTTAATGTCTACAGAAGTCTGTCTTATCATGATGGTTTCAAACTGTTAACATTTATTTATCGTGATAGTAGTTTCTTTTTTCTTTTGATAAATGTAAATGCTTATTGTCAATTACCCTGTGACGTGTGCTGATGACCACTTGACCAGGTCATCCTTGTGAAAGAGATCTCGATCTCAATGGGCTCTAACTGGAAAAATAAAGGTGACTGATTGATTGATTGATTGATTGATTGATTGATTGATTGAAAGTTGCCTCATTTGACAGGGGACTAGAGATAGTAGAAGGATGGATGGTTTGAATTTTCTCTCTAATTGAAATAATTTTATTTATAAAGAATCTCATGAAGTCATCACTACTTATAGTTGTAAGGATACATGGTTCAACAGAAATGGGACTTTTAATTAGTCTAGCAAAAGTACTAAACAGAAACCTAGGGTTATTTTTATTCTCCTCTATTAAAGATGAGTAATATAAAGTTCTAGCTTTACGGAGAGCTTTTTTATATGTTAGCAGACTATCTTTCTAAGTTAAATAAAATTCTTCAACATTAGTAGAGCGCCATTTTCTCTCCTGGTTTCTAGATGCCTGCTTTAAATTACGTAACTCAGAATTGAACCAAGGAGCCAGTTTCCTCTGATTGATTACTTTCTTTTTCAGTGGAGCAATTATATTAAGTGAAGTTTGCATTGAAGTTGTAAGATGACCAACTAGATTATCTAAGTCACTGTTCTCTGATGCATTACTCTGCAAGACAGAGGAAAACATTGATGGAAGAGATTGTTTAAATTTGGTTACAGCATTTTCTGATAAGCACCTGCGGAGATGAAATTTATTCTCAGTGACTGTGTAGTCATTTATGTAATGTACCACAACTAACGAACACGTAAATACAGTTTTTATTAACCTTACCTTGCACTATATCTTCTAATATGACCTCTATAAATAAAGGTTGAATGAATGAAATTCCGTGAAGTTTCCAGACAGGTCTCCCGAGGGAGAATAGACCCGGAAGTACTGATCCATTGCGGCGAGTCAGAACGAAAGTTGTCTGAAATCATTGTGAAAAGGGCCTATTGGGCAAGGCTGGCCAGGGTCGGGCTGCCTGCTACGGATTCAGCAAGAGGAGCAGACCGCTGAAGCCACAAAGCTCGAATGTCCAACGTAAAACTAACTTTACCGTGGTTTAATGTGGCGCTATGGCTCTGTAGACATTGCACGTTGCTGTCTTGCTTTGTGGTGTTTCTAGTGTAAAATACTTCCACACAGCGGACATGTTTCGATGAGAAGTTGATTAGCTGTTAGCCACAGTGCTGCTAACTCAGTCCTCATGTTGTAGCTGGCTGCAAACTATGAAATGGATTTCCTGAATGTGAGGTGGGTCTTATTACTCTGGGCTCATGAGGCACGCCTCCGTTCAGGAAATCCATTCCATAGATTGAAGCCAACGGACAGGGAATCACGAGATGTTTCAGCAGACACAGACATTCATCATAGATCGGAAATCTCTGCAGGTTGGATCGAAAAAATCCGATACGTAAATTATGCTGGTATCTGGGGCCGATAACGATACCGGATTAGACCCTAACTTATATTTCATTTAATTAATTTATTTCTATAGAACTTTACACAACCATGGTGATGGTGACCAAAGTGCTTATATAGTGCATTTCTATCTTGTCAAAATACTCAAAGCACTTTACACTACAATCTGTGCCCTCCTTTACCCATTCATACAACACTCTACTAGGTCACTACAAAAGCTAATTGAACAAATCATTCTAAAGAGACTAATCAGAGCTTTATCACATTCATACATCGATGGGACACACATTGGAGGCAATGAGGGATTCAGTGTCTTGCCCAGGGACACTTCAGCACGTGGCTGCTGGTGGAATCGAACCCCCAACTATCGCATTGGAGGACGACTGCTCTAACCACTCAGCCACAGCCACCCAAATGGTTAAAACGATATGCAGCTTCACCAGTGAGCGGTGCTGTTTTACCATGGAAATAATTAAATCCATATCTTGCAGGGTTTTCTCATTCAGCCCAGGCTGGGGGTCGGGTCTAATGCGTCCCATATCATCTTAACCAATGATTTGTAACGGAAATACGAATGGCGTAAATTAGCTACATGAAGATCGGTGGAGATAGAGCACGTACTTTTCTAAGCAAATCAAGCCAGTTTTTATTCATAAACAACGGCGATCCGTGCGACCCAGAAGAACACTACGGATCGTGCTTCCATAACAGAAAGGGGAATGACAGGCCCCTTGACATGACATGGGCTGTCTCTCTTCAGTTCTCAAAATGGTGGACAGTCTGTGTAGATTGAGCTCTTTAGCATAGCATTTTTCACACAAAGCTTTAAAAGAAAGCAGTAAACAAGTTCTCAGCTTCTTTTTGCAGAGGAAAACTTTTTAAACGAAGACACGGGTTTCAACCGTGAATTTTGGAGCTTCGACAAGACGGATGTGTTTTCCCACCCCGAGTTCGGCCTGCTAGCTTAGTTCATAGCTTAGCTGCTTTTAAAAATCCAAAAACGCGATTTTGGATGGTCAAAATGGATTTTAAAGAGAAAGGGAGGTTTCAGTAAAGAGAACCGGAGTTGAGCTTTTTGTCATCCAGTGTCCAGTAGAAAGAGAGAGACACGAACAAACGATAAAGCCGATAAATGAAAATGAGGTTGATAATTTTCATTTATCATGTGATTGATTTATTGTTTATCGCGACAGGCCTATAAACAAATGCCGGTTCTGTTCCGCGCCAGAAGTCACACCCATAATTCATGCAAGGCATCATGTGGGCTAGGAATAAGGTGTATATAGACAACAGTTAAAATTTCTAACCTTTAAACAAGCAAAAAAACAGTACAATTTTTAAGAAAAAGTTTTGACCAGTGCAAAATAGGTTGTGTCTGTAAGTAGTACAAATAAAAACAGGTAAAGGAGCATTTTGTAACTCATTATGTCAATTAGCAACAGGTCAAAGAGACTGGATCTCTCAGAAGTAAAGATGGGCAGAGGTTCACCAGTCTGAACTGTGTGTGTCAAAAAACAAACAGAGGCACAATTTCAGAATAATGTTCCTAAAACTTTGAATATCCCATTTTATACAGATTTGATAGTGTATCTGCTCACAGCGTTTTCTTTGATGGTGTCTTCGTGGGCCTGCAGGACTTGGATTCTGTGCAAACAACGGAGACGCTCGATGTGCCGCACACTCAGGTCTCTGAACTTCTACAGAAGAAAAAAACACAAAGAAGAATCATTTTAAACTGAAGCACCAGAAACATCAAGTTTTCCATTATTCACACATGGGAATTAAAGTGGCATGTCTTGTCCACCACATTATTTATAGCCAGTCACCATGAAAGGTAGGCAGAGTCAACCTGATTCAAGATGGCTGTGACAGTTCATCAACCTTAGCCAACAATAAACAGCTAGAATTCACCCAAATTTACATAAACAGAGCTAAAATTTGGTGTGATTGTAGCTGAGATTACTTCACACACACTGAACACTGATTGTAAAAGTTTTTTTTAAACGTTATGATGCAGCCCACAATATTTAAGGGCAATGTCAGCCTCCAGTCCAGTCCTTATTGTCTCACCTCAAAGGAGTCACTGAGGAGGTCAGTGATGTTTATGTGTCCCGCAGTAGGATGAGCGGTGTCGCTGCAGCTGTTTTCCTCTGGAGACGGAGCAGTCGCACCACAAAGAGCCTCTTCATTTCCAATCTGTTCCAAAAAACTGTTGAGAACAGTGAAGAGTTCAAATCCAACCATTTCAGATGACAAACACTCAGCCAGACGTTTTGAGTCAAATCAAAATTATGAATAACAATAAGACTTTTTTTTAATTAAACTGGAGAGCCTGTTGAAATAACACTGCTGCTGATTAAGATTCACTCTTATCCTGAAGCACGCACAGTGTCACACCTACCTGGTGAGAATCATTAGCGCCTGTCCATCGTCTGTGCACACAGACAGCTGTGCAGCATTGGCCTCCAGCACAGTCAGACCCAGCTGGAAGATGGCTTTAATTCCCTGGAAGAAGAAGCAGTCCACCACACAGATGGCGCTGCAGAAGGGCAGGACGCTGAGGAAAAGGGTGAGGAACCAGGAGAGAGAGACGGAGGAGAGGGTGGAGAGGTCCGGGACTTGCTCAGCCAGCTCAGGCAGACGTTCTCTGATCAGCTCCTCGAACACAGACTGATCCACCTGAGCTCCTGCAGGAGATAACCATGGAGTCAGGAGGACACGAGGTGTGTTGATATGAAGGTGATAGAGGGAGATCTCATGAAAAGAAGCATCTCAATAAGTTTTCAAAAAGAATCTCATCTTTAAGAACTTTTTGACTATTTTCATGATTTGAACCACTAGATGGCAGCAAAGGATGGATGGTACCTTTTAAACCATCCATCCATCCATCATCTTTACACACTTTTTCCTTTTAAGGTTGAGGGCGTCACAGGTGCTCATGTTCAACCATCACTGTGCGAGAGACGGGGACACCCTGGACAGGTCTCCAGTCCATCACAGGGACACATAGAGACAAACAGCCATTCACCCTCACACCAAGAGACAATTTAGAGTTACCAATCAGTCTAACATGCATGTTTTTGGTCTGTGGGAGGAAACCAGAGTACCTGGAGAAAACCCAAGGAGCACGAAGAGAACATTCAGACTCCACCCAGAAAGGTCCCCGGCTGGGATTCGATCCGGCAACCTTCTCGCTGAGAAGCAGCAGCTTTACCAACTTAGCCACAGTGCCCCCCACCTTTTATAGAATTTATGTAATACAGAGTTTATCACTTTAACGAAGAATCATCCGTGCAGCCACACCTCAACACTATATACTGTCCTGTACACCTATAATATCTCCAACCACGTATTAATAGTGATGCATGTTCTCCTTCACACATTACAGACAGATTATTACAGATTATTACAAGGACGGACTTGTGGTGCCTCTAGGCCAAGCTATTGGGGAAACTTATGGGAAGATGAAAATAAGCACTTAAGTGTCCAATCTCAGCACAAACAGATCTGAGAAAAACAATCACTGCTATTTAAAGATGGAGGCCGCCCACTAACAAGTGGACATTAAAAGAGGAAATTGTTTCAAAAGCACCTGGCATGTCCAAAATAAACAGCCTCAGAAACACAGGAAAAAGGCTCTGAATTTAGAGACTAAAAATAAACCTTTTATAGTAATTTGGTTATAAAACATGATGATGACAACAACTTGTGTGCTCAGATGAAGAGCAAACAGACAGTTTCTAGTATTTGTCTTGGGGCTTCTCACCAATAACTCTGCGGTTAAAGTAGTCAGGCAGCATCCTCTCACAAACTGCCACCAGCAACCAGAAAGCTTCTTCTTCTTTGGCGTACAGCAGCAGGACCGATGCCAGGATGTTCATGGACTGGAGACAGAGAAGGAGATGGGTCACACTTAAGGTCAGGAGCTGGAGTAGGAAATGATCAAATTCAGAGGTGTGTACCTGACAGTATCCGATCTTCGGGTTGCGGTGAGCGTATGCAGTGAGGACTCGCCTGAGCGCAGCGATGCCGGTGGGGTTTTGGAAAGCCTGATGATCTGGCAGGGAACGGTGCAGGTCCCGCTCAATCTCCTCTGTGGCCAAGTTGCTTTGACCCATGGATTTCTGCACCAGGCTGGTGTAGTAGCCTTGGTGGGACGCCAGCTCTGAGATGGCATCTGCACCAAGTCAAACACAGAGATGATCCTCATACTGACAGAAACAAATGACTCATTTCACTGACACAAATACGAAGGAGCCGCTGCATTCTGCTCCACTTTTGCACACCTTTAAAAGTGATTTAAACAAACAAGAACAGGTGTGGTAGTTCTAATATTAAGTCAAGTCAAGTCAGATTTATTTATAGAGCACATTTAAAACAGAAACTGTTACCAAAGTGCTTAACAAAAATATCACATCATCAAATAAAAAGTAGCAAGATATATTTACAGCACATGGAATAAAAATATAAAACCGAAAACATAATTAGAAACAATGAAATACTAAATCAGATCACGATTGTGTCAAAAGTCAAGGAAATAATAACAAAAAGCATAAACTCAGTCAGAAACAATGAAATACTAAATCAGATCATGTTGTGTCAAAAGTCAAGGAAATAATAACAAAAAGCATAAACTCAGTCAGAAACAATGAAATACTAAATCAGATCTGATGACCTTGTGTTAAATAGGAATAATAACAAAAGCATAAACAGAATCAGCATCAATGAAAAACTAGATCTAAATCCGATCACCCTGTGTTAAATGTCAGTGAGTATAAATGTGTTTTTAGGAGAGATTTAAAAGCAGAGACTGAGGTGTCCTGTCGAATGTTGATGGGCAGATTGTTCCAAAGTTTAGGGCCCACGACTGAAAATGCTCGATCTCCTCTGAGCTTCAGCTGGTTTTTGGTACGGCCAAAAGCAGCTGGTCTGATGATCTCAAAGCCCGAGAAGGAGTATAAGGATGAAGAAGGTCGGAGAGATATGATGGTGCAAGGCCGTTAATGCACTTGAATGTCAGCAGGAGAATTTTAAAATCAACTCTGACACGCACAGGAAGCCAGTGAAGAGAGGACAGAACCGAAGTAATGTGCTCAAACCTGTGAGTTCCTGTTAGTAGCCGAGCTGCAGCATTTTGTACGAGCTGGAGACGTGAAAATGAAGCCTGACTAACCCCAACATAAAGTGAGTTACAGTAGTCCAGCCGGGTTGTAATGAATGCATGGACTAGTTTTTCATGGTCGGATCTGGACAGAACGGACTTAAGCTTTGCTATTTGCCTTAGCTGAAAGAAGTTTTTTTGTAGAACAGAGTTGATCTGTTTATTAAACTTAAAGTCCGAGTCTAACACCACCCCGAGATTGGTAACCGACTGCTTTAGATGTGGCTGAAGGGAGTGCAGGTTTACAGGATCAGTGACAGTGGTAGAGCTTGGGTTAAACACAATGACCTCAGTCTTCTGATCATTAAAACTCAAGAAGTTTGCAGCCATCCAAGTCTTGATGTCATCAAGACATTTTAACAAAGGGTGGATGGAGCAGGAACTGTTTGGTTTTAAAGGCAGATAAATCTGAGAATCATCGGCGTAACAGTGAAACAAAATACCATGTTTCCTCAGGATTGACCCCAAGGGGAGCAGATACAATGAGAACAGAAGGGGTCCAAGAATGGAGCCTTGTGGGACCCCACAGGAAAGAGGGACAGAAGCAGAAAAATGATTGTCAAAGTTAACACAGAAACTCCTGTCACCCAGATAAGAATGGAACCATTCTAGCGCTACCCCTGTAATCCCAACCCAGTGTTCTAGCCATGACATAAGGATGCTATGATCAACAGTGTCAAATGTAGCGGTAAGGTCGAGGAGTACCAGGATCACAGACTGACCAGAGTCATTCGCTAGCAGAATGTCATTACAGACCCTTACTAAAGCCGTCTCGGTGCTGTGCAGTTGTTTAAATCCTGACTGAAAAATCTCAAAAATTCCATTTACATTCAAAAACCTGGTTAGTTGACTAAAAACTATTTTCTCCAAGATTTTAGAAAGAAATGGAAGTTTTGAGATTGGCCTGGAGTTTGAACAAGCTGCAGGGTCAAGTCCGGGTTTTTTAAATGAATGGAGTTACCACTGCATGTTTTAAAACATCAGGAACCACACCTGTAGCCAAACTGCTGTTAATAATGGCAAGAACAGAGGGTCCAGTTGATGGTAGAACCCGTTTAAAAAATGCAGCAGGGATGGGATCAGCAGGGGAGCCTGAGGGTTTCATGTGACCAACGACCTCATTTAAAAATGAGAGTGAGATGGGGTCAAAGTGACTGAAGACTGCTGAGCAGGGGACAAGAACTGAAGGGTCGGCTGTGGAGTGTGGAATTGATGACCTAATCGACTCAACCTTTTCAGCAAAATGCCTGACAAACTTATTACAGGTGTCAACAGAGGCCTCAATGGTGGCAGACTGAGGCACGTTTAGAATGGTGTTAATGGTGTTGAAAAGAACGCGGGGGTTGTGACTGTTTGAGTTGATAATTTTTGAGAAATATTTGTTTTTCTCCTGTTTAACGGTGGTCTGATAGGCTTTCCAACATGTTTTTAACATCTCAAAAGACACCTGAAGTTTATCTTTTTTCCATCTACGTTCAGCTCTTCTGCACAGGCGTCTTGCCTCTCGTGTAGTCTCATTTACCCAAGGGTGGGGCATGCGTTTTCGATTCCTGAGCTTTAACGGGGCGACTGAGTCCAGGATCTGTACACACGCCTCCTGATGCTGAGAAATCAACTCCCTTGTAGTAAGACCCGCAGAGAGTTCAGAGTCTGAAACAGAATTACCAGCAAAGATGGAAGGGAAGAGTGTGGCGGTGGAAGGGATAAAAATCCTACAGGGCTTGGGTGTGGGGGGAGGTGCAGGTTCACAAATCAAAGAGGTGTTGAATAAAACCGGTTTGTGGTCAGAACAAACAGTGTCACCAATTTCCAAATCAGAAACAGACAAACCATGCGTTAAAACTAAGTCAAGTGTGGCCCTGCTGGTGAGCCGGACCAACAACACTCTGAACAAAGTTAAAGGACTGGATGAGGTCTAGAAAGTCCTGAGCTAATGGTTTATCAGGGCAGCACACGCGGATATTAAAATCTCCTAAAATCAAAACCCGATCATATTGGAGCAGAATACCAGTTAGAAAGTCAGATAGTTTGTTTAAAAACTGTTTATGGTACCCGGGGGTCTGTAAAAAATAGCACACAGAACTGGGTTGGAGCGGCCCAGCTCACAACAGAGCAGTTCAAAACTCAAATAATTAGCTGAACCATGGAGCTGTCTGCAGTGCAAATGATTCTTAAAACCAGCCAATAATCCTCCACCACGACCAGTTGTCCTTGGTGCATTGAAAAAAGAACAATCCGGAGGCAGTAATTCCAGAAAAACACTGAACTCACCAGGGCAGATCCAAGGCTCAGTGATGAAAAGAAAGTCCAGTCGGTTGCAGCAGAAAAAGTCATTCAAAATAAAAGTTTTATTAGTCAGCGATCTGGCATTTATCAGGGCCATCCTCGTAGAATCTACCACAGGAGGAGATGATTGCAGTGTCCAGTCCAGCGGCCTCAGATTTGCAGAGTTAGACGCGCGCCTCCGACAGGAAACCCAACCGCGCACGGGCCCAATGTGATGATGAGACCCCGACAGCGGGACAAGACAGCGCGCCACAGGATCTGCACAGCGCCAGATTCGGAGGTGGAAACGCTCACCATCAGCTGGAGAGGATGTTTCAGAGGCAGCAAGCAGGCAGGGCTTTAAATTTCGCCGGCCAGCGCGTTTTCCACGGCGTCTGGAGCGATGTCTCCGGGGAGGCAGGAGCGTGGCTTGCTGCAGATAAGCAGGCACGTCCGCCAGCAGCGGGGGGACAGGGGGGCGTCCAGAGTTACACTCATATTGATCAAAATAAGCGACATTGGTGCCACAAAGTCGAAGATCCAAAAGTTGTTTACATTCATACACCAGCAGAGAGTTGATGTCACAGATGAGAAATGAAAAAAACATCAAAAATACGAACACCATCAGCAGAGGTGGATTGCAAGCCATGTACACAGGTGCCATCTTACCGGAAGTGACCATTAAGCAATTCATAAGAAGCATTTTTAAACTTGTGAACTTCTTAACTTCAAGTTAATCCTGACTATCTGTCCATGGCCTGTGCATAAACAGAATATGCATCATTGATAATGTAATGGATATGATCGACCCAGTGTGCGCTCGTACATAATGTTTAATCGTTTTCTGATGGGGTCGTCACATCTGGAAGATTACAGCCACTTTATTAATAAGCTCTCAGCTGGTGCTTTGATTTAAAGAGAGTTAAGTGTCTCTGTGTACATCCATCCATTATCTTTACCCGCTTCTTCCATTTTGGGTTGCAGGGATCTCCAGTGCCCATGTCCAGTAATCACTGTGCGAGGTGTGGGGGACACCCTGGACAGGTCTCCAGTCCATCACATGGACAAACAAGACAAACAACCATTCACTCTCTCACCTAGAGACAATTTAGAGTTACCAATCAGCCTAACATGCATGTTTTTGGTCTGTGGGAGAAAACCGGAGTACTCGTAGAAATCCCACACACGCACAGAGAGAACATGTAAACTCCACCCAGAAAGGCCCCTGGACCGGGATTTGAACCAAGGACCTGCTCGCTGAGAGGCAGCAGCTCTACCAGTTGCGCCACCATACTGCCCGTCTTAGTAAATAATCCAGTAAAAAATAAAGTTAACCTAATTCTATGGCATTATACAACAGAAAAACAATGTTATAAAACAAAGAAAATACAACTTCATAGGAACAACAACTAATAACCGACAACTTCTAACAAGGTTCAGTCAGGTCCGCTGGACGACTCTTTGTTGAAAAATTTTGTCTTTTATCCAAAAGACTTCTTCAGTCTGAGGAGCTGAAACAAACTCAGTCTTATAAATAGCACCTTCACATAGTGGATCAATCAGTTTGTTGTTGACATCCAGAACTAGCTGTTCACATGATAAAGGAGGACCACCAGCCTAACAACTGATCGTTAGTGCTCTGATGGCTGTTTACTATTCACAGAGGGCTGAGTGATACTAGCAATCACAGCATTGTAAGAGGGGGACAGTTGAACCCGGAGGCCTCCACCCCTGTTTAATGATGGACGGTT